AGTGTCGTCCCGCGTGTGTCCCCACACGGAACGCAAACACTCGATGGGCCATGATAGTGTTAGATCACGTCATTTAGCAACCCCACCAAGGCTTCTGGGGCCTAATAGCAGGCTACCTTGAAATGAGTGCGCTATCGGGGGATAGACAAGTATTTCGATATCAGTTGTCCTCCGTTTATCGGTCGGATGATTCAGAAGCGGTGGCCAGGGCCCATGGAACTGCCGCTGTCGAATTGTTGTTGCAGGGCTTCAGAGGCTCAAAGCGCTGGAAATCGATGGCCCAGGCACCCCTCTGGATTGGACAAATGCCCTGTAGGTAATAGGTGCACAGCGACATACGTTCCATAGCAACTCTATCATATCTGGGCTACCCATGAAATTACTCTTTTTGCGGGGTGATGGCGCAGGGTACTAGAGGTAGGTATGGAGAAAATCCTTAGATCAGACCGCCGACAGCGGGAATGACTCCCCGACTCCCGAACAACCGTCGTCCTTCAAGCTATCTCTACCTACGTAGCTAATGCGACCGTCCTCCTTTTTCTTATACCTTGAATATCAATTCTTCTTCCCTCAAACATCTTCAATTTGATTCGACATTAGATTTCGTCCTATACACCTAAGTGCGTTGAATTTCCGCCTGGCGCTATTCCATCCTACATTCAATACACCAGTCGCCATCGCCTATACATCTCTGTTACCTCAAACCTTCGCAACACACCCAATTTTCTACCGAACAAAAAATGTCCTCTCCTTCGCCTACCGAGTCTGGCAAGTCTGCCAACCCATTGGCACGACTCGACAGTGAGGGACACGACCTTCCTCCATCTCCTGCTCCGTCTAGCCCGCGCACTGGTCGCAAGCGCTATGCCCTCGCCACCGAACTTGTATACACAGACAGCAAAGATCAATATGGTGCCTCCAGCGTTCCTATCTACCAGTCTGCCACCTTTAAGCAGACATCGGCCAGCGGTGGCCAGCAAGAATACGATTACACACGCTCAGGAAACCCTACTCGAACCCATCTTGAACGACACATTGCCAAGATCATGAACGCTCAGCGAGCATTGGCCATCAGCTCCGGAATGGGTGCTCTCGATGTCATTACTAGACTGCTCCGACCTGGCGACGAGGTCATCACCGGCGATGATCTTTACGGTGGCAGCCATCGTCTTCTTACTTACTTGGCTGCCAACCAGGGCATTGTCGTTCACCACGTCGATACCACGACTGTTGATAGCGTGCGGGCACGCCTTTCGGAAAAGACCGCCATGGTGCTTCTCGAGACCCCTACCAACCCTTTGATCAAGGTCGTTGATATCCCTTCTATTGCTCGCCTGGCTCACGAAGTCAACCCCAAGGCTCTGGTCGTTGTCGACAACACAATGCTCTCGCCCATGCTGTTCAACCCTCTGGATGTGGGCTGTGACATTGTTTACGAATCCGGAACCAAGTACTTGTCGGGCCACCACGACATCATGGCTGGTGTTATCGCTGTGAACGACACTCAAATCGGAGACAAGCTATTCTTTGTTATCAACTCCACGGGATGTGGTCTGTCTCCTAACGACTCATTCCTTCTCATGCGTGGTGTCAAGACTCTCGCCATCCGAATGGAGAAGCAGCAAGCCAACGCTCAAGCCATCGCTGAGTTCCTCGAGTCTCGTGGCTTCCGTGTCCGATACCCAGGCCTCAAGTCTCATCCTCAATATGACCTGCATTGGTCTATGGCTCGTGGTGCTGGTGCTGTTCTCTCTTTCGAGACTGGCGACCCTGCTGTTTCTGAGCGTATCGTTGAGGCTGCTCGCCTCTGGGCTATCAGTGTCAGCTTCGGTTGTGTGAACAGTTTGATTAGCATGCCTTGTCAGATGAGCCATGCCAGTATTGATGCCAAGACACGAGCGGAGCGACAAATGCCTGAGGATATTATTCGACTCTGTGTTGGTATCGAAGACCCGAATGACTTGATTGAGGATCTTTCGCGCGCCGTAAGTCTCGATGCCCTGATATTATAAAATGAAGCTAACACCCTTTTCAGTTGGTTCAAGCTGGTGCTGTCACCGTTACTATGGATGGTTTCCACGCAACTGGAGCTGCCAAGGAGCTTGGAGAGACCCCTCTCTCTTTCCAATAACTTGTAATGGCATAGCAAGAATGGAAACACAAAAAGAAATGATCCATGCTAGTGGATCAAACGGGAATGTTTTGATTTTATGAGCGAATTCGATACTTCTGCAGAATACCATTTCAATATCGGACATGCCATGGTTTTCTTAACCATAGACGGAGCAGTGAAGAGGACATGCTCACAAACATATACCGCCACACAGGCGATGATGCTATTCAGAGACGGCAAAAAGAGCAAAAGACGATCCCTTATCATGAGCTTACGCTGGAGTTGACAGGAAGGAATTATGGAGTTGGAGTTGTTTGCTTAGTGCAGCTGCCATAGGTTTGAGATTTCAAATATACGGAAAATTCAAGATTTAAAGATGCGTTTCCCATGCACACAGCCCCATTGATGCATAAAGCGTTCTCGTATTGTATCCTTACTTCAAACCGCAAGAGCTGGTACCCAGTGACAGAATATGCGGTTCACTTTCGATCAATTGATCGAACCTCAAGTTTATGTCACAACTTGAAACATGGTATCAACGGAAATAAAACCTGGAATACAGTGGTACCTATTCAGATGGCATACATAAGTAACTACAAACTATTCACAGTCTGGCTAACAATAATATTCAACGCTTCCTCACAAACTCCCGCCCAAATGCAGATGCAAGTTTAAGAAAAGTCGAAACGGTCAGGAAGGACAACAGGGGCCACCAGTGTCCATATATACATGCCGTAGCAGACCCAAGCACTAACAATCTTGACCCAGCTTGCTGCGTAAGTACGCCCGACAGTTGCAAAGTCGCCGTCCTTGGTGGACTCATCGAAGTTCATGGTGAGCAAGGTAGCTACCCAGGCAGTTGCTAGGAAGAAGATGATGTGGAAGACAGTATAACTGTACTGGGTCCTGTTTCGCTCGTCATCTCCTGCGGGGGTATCGCCAGCTTCACTCTCGTCGTCGGACAGCAGAGCATCGGCAGGCAGACTTCCCTCCTCGACAGCTCGGCGCAAAGCCTCGGCTCGCATTTCACGGCGAGCACTAGGCTGTTGAGTTACAAGACCATGTTCGTCGTCCTCGGGCAGCTGAATACCGTTAGAGTTGCCGAGACCAAGACTCTGGGTGGCAGCTCGGGTTGTGGTGTAGGCAATCGTGAGGAGAGTAACAATGGCACCAATAACGATGGATGTCGTCCGTGTTCCCTGGCCCATGATGAGAGGGTTGCACTTGCTGTTAGGCTCCATAGACACAGCAGACATGGTTAGATATGTGCAGTAGACTGCCACCATAGCGGCCTGAGCAAGTCCTGCCTTGGGGTTGAACTCTTGAACGGTGGGATTGACAGAGATGACAGAGATGGCAAGCCAGAGAATGAGGTTGATGGTGATTACAGCCTGGTTCATCGAGCATGAGCCACGCGCGAAAAAGATATACTGCACAATGGTCATAGCAAGAGAGCCAATGTACATGCCCAGAGTGGAGCCAATCAAGATAAATCGCCAAACTCTCGAGTCAGTGTCCTCAATTTGTGCGAGGCAGTATTCGGCCCAGTTATGAGCAAGATCGACAAGAAGTATAAGACCGAGGAAGAGGAAAAGCATAGCTGCAGCGAATGCGACATAGTTGCCCCAGAACAAGAAGAAGCTATCGGGAATCAGGAACGAGAGAACGACAAATGCGAGCCAGGCGATAATCTTGGGCCCCCAGTAGCCATTCTGAATAGACGCACGAGGACTCTTGGAGGTTGCGACACCGAAAAGCAGGCCAGCGAGGACAAGATGGAAGAGACCGAGGGCAAAGTTGATTCGATGGACTGCAAGCCAGCCGTGGCATTCGCCAGTTGGACAATTGATCGTAACAAAATCGAGGGTGAGTTTCTGAAGCTTTTTAATTGCCCATGGAGTGAGCATTATCCAAGCGATAATCGAGTTCACGAGGAGAAGGAGCGCATATGCGATACGGGTTGCGACACTATTGCCGCATTTGCCACAGGCACTGCAGACCATGGAACAGGTCGCAGCACCACAGCAGCTAGCAGCGAAGGATGCAATCTAAACAAGATCAAGGTCAGCTTCGATAAGCGAGATCAGAGGAGGGTTGTTGACATACAGCACCAACGCTTGGTACCGCAAGAAGCGGTAGAGACAAAAGAGCGCCCATTGCGACAGCGCGTTATGAATATCGTTCGCGTCGAGTTAATTGAATCGGGTTTATATGTTCCTCTGCGTATTCCAGCGCAGGTCGAGACGTTGGCCGAATCGAAGACCGACTGGCAATGTAGTTGCCTTGAAAGGTAGATGGATAATTATCCTAATGGCGTTGTTTGAAGATGGAAGAATGAGGCTACTGACGATGAGGCCTGGCCACGTGAGATTACGTCGCCAACAGGAACCGTTCTAGGCCCGAAAAGCGGAGTCGTCAAGATATGTGTTGTATGTCTCAGTGTGCAGGTACTGAGAATGACCTGGACAGTGCACTAATCACAAGGGCCACATACCCCCAGTCCCGGGACATTCTCCGCGTTCGGCTTATGCATTCCCATGGGCAAGTGTATCACTATCAACCTCCACGAGATCCCCTTCTCATCAGTCATTTCCTATCCGATAGCTAATAACCTAGTCGCCTGTCCCCTTTGTCTGTATTTTTTTTTATCCCACACTTGCTCCAATTATTCTATCTTTTATCATATAGCTCGGCCTAGACCTCTCTTATCTCGTCTTTGTCAACTTATCTACTATCTCCCTGGACTTGTCAATCTTGTCCTATTGCGTTAGCATCACCCTCACTAGTTAAATGTTAACTTCACCTTTACAGAAGCGTATCCCCTCTTGTTGATACTTGTTCGGTCTTTCTCAAGCTCCATCTTATTGCTTTGCTAGCAACAGTCACAATGCATCAAGACCAGCAGAATCGCCTTTATCAGGCGCGCATCATCGCTAGTATCGCTGCAACTGTCATGTCCTTAGCTTGCGGCACCAATGTTGGTCTTCCTTAAGCTTCATATATATGCGTCACAGCTATTCTAACATCAACAAGTATGTCTACTCAGCTTGGGCTCCGCAGTTTGCGGAACGATTGAAGTTGTCGTCTACAGAAAGCAACTTGATCGGTCTATGTGGTAATCTGGGAATGTATACCCTTGGCATGCCCATAGGTGCCTTTATTGACTATCGAGGCCCGCGGCCTGCTGTCCTTGCCGGTGCCATCCTCATGCTCCTTGGCTACTTTCCCCTTCACCAAGCCTACCATCGTGGCTCCGGATCTGTGCCTCTGATGTGTGTCTTCTCCTACATGACTGGTCTGGGCAGTTGTATGGCATTCGCTGCATCTGTCAAGACATCTGCTCTCAACTGGCCCAAAACCCGTGGAACGGCCACAGCTTTCCCATTGGCTGCCTTTGGCTTGAGTGCCTTCTTCTTCTCTTTCGTCGGTGCTGTCTTTTTCCCCGGCAATCCCAGTGCCTTCCTTGAGCTTCTCGCTTGGGGCACCTCTGGCCTTACCTTTGGCAGCTTCTTCTTCCTGAAAGTCTACCACGACCAGCCCGAGTATGAGGCCGTACCCGCATCGGATGACACGCAGAGCATTCCATCGTCAGCATCTCAGCAATTTCGACCTGGATCTTCAGAGGAGCCGAAACCCTTCCGCTCCTCTCGAGTGGATAATGAACCCGGTATGTTAACTAATTCCAGTAGTGATAGCACCTGTGCCAGTAGGAACTCGTACACTCCTGCTGTAGCATCCTCATCTACCGCCGCCCCGGATTCGATGGGCTCTCTTGGAACTCCACTTGCGCCTGAATTCGGCCTTGTGGTCGCCCCCGAGAATCCTGAAGACCTCGAGGTTGGCGAGAGGTCACCCCTGACTTCTCGTCCCTCATCACGAACCGATCAACCCCTTCTTGGAAATAATTATATTAATAACGATGGATCTCACCATCTAGACATTCGAGGTCTCGCCCTCTTGCGCAGCGCTAGCTTTTGGCACCTCTTTATCATCATGGGTATTTTGGCTGGCGTTGGTCTCATGACCATCAAGTATGATTGGCCTTTACTATACCCAACCTTTGGGGAACGCTCAGCTGACATGTCTCAAGTAATATTGGAAACGATGCCAAGGCTCTTTGGAAGCATTACGACAAGAATGTGACCGACGATACTCTCGTTCATAGGCAACAAATGCATGTATCAGCGTTGTCTATTTGCAGCTTCCTCGGCCGACTGTCAAGTGGTAAGTCGAATGCATCTGCTTACTATGTAAATGTCTTACAGTCCTTTTAGGTGTTGGCTCCGACTTCTTGGTCAACAGACTTCACGCCAGCAGGCTCTGGTGTCTTGTTGCCGCCTGCATAATCTTCATCTTTGCTCAAGTGTGCGCCTTGAACGTCGAAAACCCACACTGGCTTGGCCTAGTCTCGGGCCCGTCCGGCTTAGCCTATGGCTTCCTCTTTGGCGTCTCTCCTTCTCTTGTCGCCGAGACTTTTGGCGTTGGGGGACTTAGTCAGAACTGGGGTTTTATCACCATGGCTCCTGTGTTCTCGTCCAACGTCTTCAACATATTTTATGGTAAAATCTACGATGCACATAGTGTAGTTGGTAAAGACGGCGAGCTCTCTTGCTTAGACGGTCTTGAATGTTACCGCTCCGCCTATTGGGTCACATTATTATCATGCTGCGCTGGAACAGGCATCACTCTCTGGGCAATTCGCCATCGACATGCAAAGCACCAAAGGGCGATGAACAAGGGGCACGAGGAGGACTAAGAGCATACGGGCACTAGAGCTATAAAATTGGCAACTCGGATATTTGACTCTTGGTTTGGACGGGCATGGCATTGGCCTCCCTTGATGGCGTTTTGTATAGAGATTTTGGTGTTCAACGTAGGTTTGGGTCATGGACAAATACAAGACTGGTGTTTACAATAACAGGGAGCCAATAAGGTTGAGTAATTATCATAAAGAAGGTCTAATTTGTGATTATATGCCAATTATTGCTATCCCGTCTCTCGTTTCGTAACCAAAGCCTCGTGGCGTAACCGCCAAATAACAAAGTGCGGCATGATGAATATCCAGCCGTATAGTATACCATTGCTGACAACGGCCAAGTTCAATGGAGGAAACAAACACCTGAACTCTATACAGATAAGCCAGGCTCTTCCAGGATTTTCTGATCATGCCATCTGCCCAAAAAACGCCGAGAAATGCTAAAGTCGTGGACTGGCGCCTTCAAGAGGCGAGCAACGTCATCCGGTTTCAAATGCTGAAATACGTTGGTTCCAGAGCCATGCAAAAATAAATAGGTATTACCGGGCAAGCCCGCGCTGAATCGAGAAAAATAAACACTCCCAAGTTCGTAAACGTGTGTACTGCTGCGTGATCATAGGCACAAAAGCTAGTAAACAAGACAAAGGGGTATCCATGCCAACATTGTGAACGTATCCCTTCACATGGACGCCTTCGTCTTCGTTCGGTCTTCACTTGGGCTACTGTCGAATATCGCACCTAATCCACTTAGGGAGAAGGGGTCGTTCGTTGAATGCAGTACAACCAGCCAAGCGGCGATGATGTTAACCAAATAGTGAAGCATATATGCATGGGAAATGCCATACATAGCGGCATAAAGCGCAGTGGCGAACAGAAGCAGACTCGTGACATAGCCCAAGAGCCGACTAACACGAGGCACCATCTTGCCGGTTGTCAAGTTCTCCACGAGTAGGATGAATGGCATTATTGACAGAACATTATGATGTGAGGAGAACGGCGTGAGCCAATGTACTGCCAAGTTCCGGATCCAAACCGCCAGAATAGGTAAATTAATGGGAAGGATCCAAAGCATGAGCAGCAACACAGAGTGCGCATAATGGTAGTAGTTCGAATTAGCGTCTGAAGGGGCCGTGGCGTTGATGCGTAGGGCTCGGACCACGGTGAAGAGCTGTACCAGGCATGCTACCAGGTACGCAAACTGATAGGGAATAAACGTCCACACAAGAAATAAGAGGATGGCTGTGGTGATCATGCGTCTCTTGGGGGTTGATGGGACAAATGCAGGTGAGCTAATCACCCTTTCGTCATCTGTTGACCCTAACAGAGGAAACGAGGTTACTGCCCAATAGACGAGGCTGAGAATATGTGTAAGTGCCTTTGTCATGTAGTGAACGACAGCACAAACTCCGATACAAACAATTCCAATGAGGGGGACGAGAAACCAGAAGAAGGGATCATCCGTTCCAATGAGTATATCATGACGGTGGAAATCGACACTCAAAGGATCCGTGTGGGCCTGGTTAAAGAATCTGCCAAGCCAGGTAACCGGCACGCCTTCTAGTGACATTGAGAGAAGTGTCAATGACACGAGAAGTAAAGGTATTGATTGCCGTAAACACAGGTCTAAGCTCTGTGAGAATGAAATGAAGACCCCTGAACTGTCATAGACGCGGAACTGCTTGCGCAACACAAGTGCCACAGTCAACATAGGGAATGCGGCGAAGACAGTTCGATACCTCATGTATAATTTACCGAGACTACCCCAGAAGTCAGGCTTGATTTTGATTGTGAGGTTGGAGTCGCAAGAAGGATCAGTCCAGAACTGAAAAGTCAAGCCCTTCTCGGCCCCAGAACCCAAGGCAGGCGGCAAGTAGGGGGCAACACCATGAAGGCTGATATCGGCAGATTGAGCATTGACAAAATATTTTGACTCGTACGGTTGATCAAGATATTGTCGAACCAATGGGCTGAAGAGAGCCTTGTCGGCTTCGCACTGGGGGTATGTAATCTCAAGCTTGTAGGCGAGAAGTGCTGACTGCAACGAAGGAATGTTGACTTCCATAGACATCGGGCGACTAGGGGGGAGTTCCATTGAAATTCCGGAAACGAGTAACTTCATGAGCCCAGGATTCTCTTTCTTCGAATATGCAGACTTATCACTGAACTCTGCGATCAAAAAGCTCGGAGAGTTTGAAGTAGCCTTTTCGACAATGGCCACAAATTGATGGTCAGAGAGTTGTCCAAGATCATATTGAAGGTAAGAAAATGGGACGATTTCCCGTTCGCGGTCGAGATAAAATGGATATCTGGATGATGACGTAGATGCAGGAAGCAAAATACGGTCCGACGCTGCGTTCTTACAAGCAAGTCTTGTCGAGCCACTGTCATCTCCTGAGAGGTCGATTTGGAAAGGGTAGAGCGAAGTGGCTTGTCCAGATTGAAAGGGGTACACACTGCAGAAAAGGACCTCCAATTTGCCATTCTCGCCAGCGTCGTCCAGAGGAGCATCCGTAAGAACGGTAAAACGTCTGGTCTCGGGTGAAACCTGTGGTGGAATGGGAAGTAGATGAGCTTGAGGTTTTGACTGCCTGCCGATTTGACTCAGGACAAGTCTCTGTCCAGCCGGAAGAATGGAATCGGAGTCGTCACTAAGTGTGAGTAAAGTTGTTGCTTCTTTCAGCGGCAAGTCCTTTTCCATCGTTGGTTCCATTCCCGTCAAAAAGCGTTTCTTGAAAGTCTTCATTCGTTCAGCCCGTGGTTTGGTCTGCGATCCGCGATGAACGTCGACAATATCGTAGAGCGTTTTCGTAATTACTTTTCGGAACTGATCGCACCAAAGAATGGCCTGGTGATCCATGCTTGTCCAAACAGTTGGTATACCGGTAGAGAAGACAGTAAACCCATGTGTCGGCGGAACCAGAGACTCCAGACTTGCATAATCCGATGGGACAATCGTGTCCAGGCCACCGCCTGCAATTGAGACCAAGGTAACGTGCCACAATGGGTTATTGTTGGCCCATTTTTGTGAATATGCCCGACGCCAATAATCGTTTATGTCGTCGTAGATCTGGACTATCTGCCCATCAAAGGTGACAGGAGGGCGAGCATGCGGTGCTGACATTGTGATGATGGTATTGATCGAGTTTGTCTGGTAATTAGGCTGAACAAGCATAGCTCTCGCAACGACACCACCCATAGAATGCCCCAGAACAATAACCGATGTAGGATCAGGCAAATTGTCTTCTCTCGTGACGCGCTGAGGATCGGAGTAGAGCGAAAGGATGTAGCGAACAGCTTCGTTCAGGTATTCGGCTTGGTCGAGTAGAGTCTGGCCGTGAAACGCTGTAATATCTTCGTTGAAATCCACAGTAAAGAAGTCGAGGCTCCGGATGCCGGCATCGAGAGCGCCATGGTCGTGCTGAAGATTGTTGTGGAAGTAGTTGGCTGCTTCTGCAGCTATAGGACGGACCTGCTTGTAGCTTCCTGCGTTTCCAGGAATGAAGAGCACAGGGATTCCGAGGAGCTATCACCATAAAAGTTCAGCAATTCAACATCCACATTATAGCCTGGGAAATGGTGAGACAAACCTTATCTGCTGGCTCGACACCTTGCTCGCGGTAGAGGTATAACGAATATTTGGTTGCAAAGCGAGTATGCTCGGTATCGAATTCGGTGAAGCGCACGTATGATGGGCGCATATAGGACATACGGCAGCCCTTTGGATCCAGTTGACTAGTCACGAGTGACCGAAGAATACCGAGTAGGAGCGCAATCCCTAACGCAGAAACGAGCAAGACGACAATCGAGAAGCGTGGACGACGCGTGTGCCGATTTGGAGAAGGAGACTGCGTTGGTGTCCTAGCGAGGGCCATGTCGGGGGTTGACGGGGCAGCAAGAGAAGTTGGTTTCAAGCTGGTCGCTGTTTGAATATCGTCTCTGGCTTGGCCGTTTCTACCATTGCGATCATTCGACGGTTTCCAATTGAGGCTGCTAGGTCGTCGAATTCGTGCGGGCGATGTGCGCGTCGTCAATCTAGGATCGGGGTCGGGAATATCAGACTCGAGGGAGGATTCGTCACCATCATCGGCTGATCCGGAGGAGCGCCTCTTCATGGAGAAGGCACGTTCAGACTCGCCGCGAGCCTACACCAAGGGAGATGAGAATGCTGACAAGCTCGAGTTGGAATCAAGGCGATTTTCGAACTGAGCGACAGAATCGGGAGAGCGAGGTCAGATCACAGCGGAGGAAGAGGTTGAAGCTAAGATTGAGGTCAAGAACAGACAATGTCTGCGTGCGATACTACTAGCCTGGACTGGGACAGCTTCGGGGGACCACCAAGACGAAAATGCCAGCAGGGATTTGATTTTGCCAGGGTTTGCGAAGACGCAGCGCAACGCAGCGATGAGGACGCAAAGCAACGCAACGCAACTCAACGCAATAATTAAGAGCCTCTCGGGCGGTAGCAGGAAAAGACCGACCCGTTTGCGACAGACAATATGGGGACGGATGCAACCGGGGGTTGTAACTGTCCGTAGTTTTAACAGCTGGGATACGTCGGAGGCGCTCCTCAGCGAACGAGCGGCACCAATAAGTAACGAAAGTAAGGGCCAAGACCAAGACCAAGACCAAGACGATAGATATTCGCAACAACAACAATCTATGTATGCAGCATGTCGAATTGACTCCCCAGTCACGTCGGTCGCTTGACTTTGAATTCAACGAATGTGGGTGGGAAATTGGATGTCGATGGCTTCTTCCATTAGGTTGTCAGCCGAGTCGGAGCCACTTTTAGCGTACTAAGTGACTCCCCTTTTTTTTCTCCTTCCCTTCCCTTTACGCCCCCAAGGTCCCTTCCATGAGGCTACAAGGCCAGTAAACTTGTCCATCAGGCGGGCGGCTGGCTGGCTTGGCTTTTAGATAAGCGCCACATACAGCACATATTTACTGGCCTACCAAGGAATTGGAGAAATCTTGACTCCATTTGTTGGCAGCAATCAAACTTGATTTATCCCGACTTTTTTCAAGAAGATATCCCCAACAATTGGACTAAAAGACCAAGTTGTCAGGGATTCCAATGGCGCATCCTCTTTTTCATCCAATGTTACAGGGATGTCCTGCAGCCATATCATAGACTAATTTCATTGCAGAAAGACGAAAAAAACGTTTTGGATAGACCAACGTTTGCAATCCATGCTCTCGGGCTGGGCTGCCGGGCAGCATCTTGGCTATTTACTACTAACCTATCGATGCAAAGGGTATTAGCAAGTGGCTGAACTACGTGCAGAAAAGTACAACAAACAAGTTCATTGAATGATACGGGTGCTTCTAGCGTACAACGCCATGTATGCCACAGATATCAGCAGCCACCAATTTATTGATCTGCGTCACTTTACTGATAGCCCATACAGTTGCCAGCAGCCTTGCGTTGTCAACGCCTCTCCCTTCTTAGTTCCCTGTTAGGGCACAAGTAGCGTCCCTCTCAAGCCCGTCTTCCGTCTTGGCCTGGCAATAGCTTGGAACCAAAAGCTAAAACTCTTGATATGCTTTGCGTATCGAAACTGTGACCAACAATCGGCGCTGATCTCTTTGTGAAGTCAGTGCTTGCTACAGTTAGCATTGGTAGTTAAAGTAGGTGCAGTAGTATTGTTTTACTGGCCTCCCTTCAACTTCACACAACGCCCGATGTTTCCGTGAGACATTGATCGATCAACGGTTGACTCTCAGAATTGGATGATTAATGCATACATGGTCAAGAGCTTTAGCAACGATTTACCAGTTAGAAGATGTAGAGTATAGAAGAAAGTATCAGGCTTTGTTCAGCATGGGTTGCTCACTGTAGATCAACCTAAACAATGATCTAAGCTTTGGCGTCTAGGTCGTTCCGATGCACGCACGCCGTATAAGTAGCGGTTTTCATAGGTCAAGTTAAGTCTTCACTTTCATCCCATTCGTTGGTTTGATCCTCTCAGACAGCGCTTTCCCTTCAACCTCTGGAAATGACGAGATCAAGACGCCATTCATGGATAAGTACCTACTAGGTATATTTGCCGAGAAATAAGTATGAATTTCAGGTCTATGGCCCATCAGTCCTATGACAATTTCGGCAATATTAACATGTGCAGTTTTAGAAAGTTATTAGAATAGTTATCTGTTAGATATTCATTTCCATGGACACCAATAATAGCTACTCGCCTACCTGGTATTTTAGTATTGTCCCTCAGGAGTTCTTCTAGCCTTTATATGCATATGCGTTAACTGCATTACTCCAGCCTGTAAATCACTACTTTCCAGCCTTTGTAGGTGCATACTTATTAGCTTTGGTTGCACCCAATCCTTGTATGTATTACGGCAGTGCATGGATAGCAACTTACATTGAACAGTAAATGAAGTAAACACTGCATACTACAGATCGCTCTTCATGATTTGGCTGCGAACTTACAAGAACTAATGCAGTCAGCTGTATCTCATCGCCCGTCGAATTCTAGATGATATTGGGATCACTGTTTTGCCAAGGTCTCGATGATCTCAATCACATTGGCTGCAACTTATTCACGGTCATCCTAAAGTGAATCGTCGACTATGGCTACTATAAAGCAGATTGATGGACGCACAGTAACTCTTCCTAGCAGGCCTAGCTCGCGTCTCATAACTGACTTGGATAGGTTCATCAAATACAGTCCGGGCAGGTTATCGTTGATCTTTGCTCTGTTGTTAAAGAACTGGTGGAGAACAGCGTTGATTCCGGCGCAACAAGCATAGGTGAGCATGCAAATACTTAGCTCGATCAACCATCGGCAAATACCATCGAACTATACTAAACGTATCTTTCTCAGATGTTCGCTTCAAAAATCAAGGACTTGACCTTATCGAGGTGGCTGACAATGGATCTGGCATTGCCCCTGACAACTATGCCTCTGTGGCTCTCAAACACCACACGTCAAAGCTTTCATCATACTCTGATATAGCCACGTTGGAGACATTTGGATTCCGTGGCGAAGCTTTAGCTTCCTTGTGCGCTCTGTCCACTGTCAGCATCACGACTTGTCAGCAAGGCGAGGCTCCCAAGGGGACCAAGCTCAGCTTCGAGCCGTCTGGAAAGCTAAGCGGGACAGCTGTTGTTGCAGCCTCAAAAGGTACCACCGTCTCCGTTGAGAGTCTGTTCCACAACCTACCTGTTCGTCGTCGTGAACTTGAACGTAATATCAAACGAGAGTGGAACAAGGTGATCGCTCTCCTTGGCCAGTATGCCTGTATCCAAACCAATATGAAGTTCTCTGTATCTCAGCAGCCCTCAAAGGGAAAGAGAGTACAAATGTTCTCAACCAAGGGCAACCCTACAACAAGGGAAAATATCATCAATATCTTTGGGGCAAAAACTATGACGGTTCTGGTGCCGCTCGATTTATGTCTCGAGATGCAACCTTCTACTGTCAGCCCAGCTCTACGAGTTGAATCTGACACTGGTTCTATATCCAAAGAAGTCCGTGTTGTGGGCTACGTTTCCCGACCTTCTCACGGAGATGGGCGTCAAACCCCGGATCGCCAAATGTTCTTTGTGAACGGCAGGCCTTGTGGCTTACCCCAGTTTGCAAAAGCATTCAACGAAGTGTACAAATCTTACAACAACACGCAAACACCTTTCATTCTAGCTGATATTCAGCTCGATACACACATGTACGATGTCAATGTCAGTCCTGATAAAAGAAGTATAATGTTACATGATCAAAATCAACTCCTCGATAATCTGCGCACTTCGCTCACGGATCTCTTCGATTCCCAAGACTACACAGTCCCTACATCTCAGCTTATGCCATTGAAGAGTCGTACTAAGGCAACACCAACTGTCAATACACCTTTCAAACCCCTTCATGTCACTCCTAGAAAGGCGCCTGATAACTCACATTCCAATCCTGGATCGGATGACGAGGATAGTAGTGAAGACACACCACCATCAAAGGTACCTTCTGGCGCTGCAAGAAGAGTTGGCGGTTCAAGGTCGTTGGAAATAAACGCCAGCAGTCAGAATCTGATCAGTGGGTGGGTTGAGAGGAAGTCAGCCAAGAGGCCAGAAAGCCGAGGCTACCAAGCACCAAAGGCAGCAGATGCGACTCCTTCTGCCATACGAGGGGAACCGAGCCTATTTATCAGGAGTCCTTCACCACCATCAGAACCTGATGAAAACGTTGTCAAAAAGTCACTACCTGTTCGAGATTTCAACAAACAGCTCAAAGCGAATTCTGTCATCAAAGATAATTCTTCTGCAGCACCAACCATTCCTGTTATTTTGGCTGAGAGAGAACCTCAGATTCCTACCACGACACCTTTGAGACGAGAGCAACCCGAGATTACACATACTAGTCCGAGCAAAACGCCTCGGACCAGGACGATACCAGAGACAACTATCATCATAGGAGATGAAGTATTGGAAAAGGTCACAAACTCCACTGACGACGAAGATGGACAAGCAGGTGTCGCTACTGACGACGATATGGAGGTTGACGATCCAAAGCCCTCTTTCGGGAGTACTTTGACACAAAGATTTACCGCTGGACGTAGAAAGACAGACGCGGAGAAGCCTTCCATCGAAAAACCGGGCGCCAATGTGTCTGACGACTCAATAGCCTCAGAATCTGACGGCGAAGAATCAGACAGTGACATTTCTACCACAAGTGCAGATGGGGATAAGAATATTGCCTCCAAAGTAGCTGCGCCACAACCTGACGATCAGGCAATGGAAGAGCCAATAGCACAGAATATTTCGCCGGACAGTCCTCCCTCCCCAAACCCAGGCGCAACTGCCATCATGGATCACAGGATTCAAGCTTCCAAGTCTAGTGTACGAAAGAAGGATTCCACGGCTCAGCTTCTCCAGACTTTACAGACGAGTGAGAGCCTCATAAAATCAGAGTTGAAATCCTGGGCAAATGGTCTTCCCTCAAATAGAGACGTTCAGGCTGACGAGGATGCGGTGACGGATCTCGCTGCCGCTAATGCGGAAGACAAGCTGTCTCTCACCATAGCTCGCAAAGACTTCTTGAGAATGAGAATAGCGGGCCAATTCAATATGGGTTTTATCATTGCAAGCCGTCCAGCGAGTGTGAGGTCGGGTGAA